GTTTTGAAATGGACTTTATGTTTTGAGGAATGTCATTCCATGCTTTAGTATAAACATAGAAGAAAGACCTCTGGCCGTAACAGTTTTTAAAAGTAGGTAATATCAGTTGTCCTTTTGTAACAGATCTAGTTGAATGACCACTTCCAGAATTTGATTTGAGCAACCTTTGGTCTGACACTTTGAACTGCAGCTCAGATACTGCAGGTTTGATGTCTTTTAGGGAAGCTTTAGCAGTGTCAGAGGTTGCTGATGTCTCAAGATGATGATGTCATAACAAGAGCCGAACACCAACAGAGAAAACTGTGTTCCATTTTGAAATACTTAAACGGAAACTTCAATGTTTAAGATTTAATTTTTACATTTAGATTTACACAATTAAATGAGGAGTTGATGTTACCATAGTAATGCTTAAATTTAAAATTTATTAAAATGCAAGAGAAGGGAGCTAAATAACAATAAAATGCTAGTGGAAATTTTTTAACACTCAGAAAGTGAACTTAATAATGAAAACGTGTTAATGACATTTTTTAACATTTTATTTTACATTTGGCACCACATGGCAGCTGTTCACAAATTTTGTTATTTTTTTATTTTTATTTTAGAAAACACAACATAGGAAAAACTGTAAATTTAGTTTTTTACTTTATCTTTTTTTTTGACCAGCCTACCATGTGTGCATGTTTGCAATGAGTAGCTTTAAATCAGGTTAGCAGCAAACTTACAGCACTATTATTCTGTCAAACATACAGTAAATGTGAAATAAAAAACTCATCAACAGTTCAAACTTACGTCGTCTTTACACTGGAACAAATATTCACTGCCGTCTGCAAGACTGTGAGAAAAAAAGTGGGAAAATGTTAGTTTTTATTTCTATTAGCAATACATATTAGAACATACTGTGTTTGTTTCTGAAACTTTAATTTGTTCAGATTTGACCACACTTTGGTATGTCAGGCGTGACATTTGATAAGAGCCTCTATAGCTTCAAATGTCACTTTAACACATCTGAATGGAACATTTTCAGCTCATTCTTAAGTTCTTCAAGTTCTGAGAGACTCAGGCTGTCTCACACACACACAGATTTGTTTTTATATCCACATGGAGACCGAAGATTGACTTCCATTTATTTTCTGATAATTGTACAACCTAACCCTGACCACTTACCCTAAAAACTAACCTAAACTCAGTTCACACCTTGGTCCTAAAACCTGAAAATAGCATCCGTACCTGAATGTGCATTATGGGGACCGATGCCCGATCCCCACGAGGCTTCATTTTTCTGGAAAATGGTTCCCATGATGTAGCAAAACGTGCCCACGCACACACATCCACACAAGCTTTCCTGGAAGTGCTTCATTTAGGAGTTTAACGTCTGCTTTGGGTGAATCTTCTGCCTCTTCCTGACATTTGTATTCAGAATTTGCTGATACTTAGCAGCTCATTCTGTCACAGAAACCCTAAAGCAAAATATTTCCACCCCCATATTCAACAGTGGAGAAGGAGGTTTTGTCAAATGGAGCTCTTTTTATTCTTCTGTAAGCGTTCTCAAAGAGCTCAGCTTCACCTGTCCACAGTGATGAATCCAGCATGTGAGACTAGTTTGTGCAGCTCCTCTGTCAGCTCTACCTTCCTGCTGCTCTGCAGCTTTCTGTCAGTGTGAAAAGCTTTCTTCATCTCTCGGTTCTTGTCTTGCCTATTTTATGATTTGACTGGTCTCCTGCACAGCTGAAATCACAAACCGGAACTGTTTTGACATTTTGATACCACCCCCCACCCCCCGCTGTGGAGGAAACATCTATCTTAATCTTTAAATCCTCAGCCTGAGAGGAGCCCGGAGTTGTTGAGAGAAAAGGATGAAGATTTGTAATTAGCTGACACCTCTTATTGCTATTTCAGATATTAGTGAAGAAAAAACACTAAATGTTCTATTCGTGCCATAGTTATCACCTGCTGCCTTTCAGCAGTGGGTGATAATGTGTTTATTTACCTGTACTGTTAGCAAAATATCTCATAAATCACTGAACAAATTTTCATGAAAGTGAAATGGCTCATTTGGTTGACATCTATGATTAAATTTTAGAATCAACCCCCACAGCAAAAACGACAAAACAAAATGAAACAAAAAAACAGCTAGAGCAGTGTATTCACATTTAAATATTCAAATTCATTGTCTATAATGTACTGTATATAAAATATACATTGTGTATAGAATAAAATAAAACAGCCTTTCAGATTTATTATTAATACAAAACAAAAATAAAATCAAGGCAGTTTTATATTTCTGTTGAAAAATATAATGCAGAAGTCAGGAGGTGGCTTTATTGGCCCAATATTCAGTTTAAACAGGCTGCCTGGTTTGGTCTAAAAGTAAAAAAAAAATAAATAAATAAAATGTAATTTTCTGTACTAAAGCTTATCTGTTGTAAGGGATCAATAATTGAGAGGCCGTGACATGAGGTGAAAATGTCAGATGTTTTCTGAACTGGACGGTGAAGGACCGAGGCAGTGAGTTTCTGATGGTTGGTGACAAAAAAACAAAGAAGTAGACAAAGTTGTCAAATAATAGTAATAATTTTAAACTCCCTTTTGTCCGTAAAAGATGTCTACAGAAAAAAAAATGTTTTGTGTTTGGCAAAATAAGACTTCAAGTAAACCTTTTGTTAAAAACTTGGCGTAAAATCAAATGTGAGATAAAAATAAGTCTCTTACTGAAGCTTGGCAACGTGTTTCTTCTTCTTGTAGTTGGTGAGGATCTCCCAGCTGGCATTTCCTAGAGACAGGGGGTCCTCACCATGATACGTCACTCCATGACCAAAACTTTTAGCATCCTTATAGACTGAGAGCTGACCGGGCTTCAGCACACAGTACAAGTTGTTCCATGACCTGAAAGAGGAAAGAAAAAGAGAATATATCTGTCAAATTTCTGACAAAACACATCATCATTGCCATTAAGATAATAAAATAACAATCTCTCTTTTTATTCATCAGATGTTCTCTGTGAAACAGCATGAGGGAAATCTTTGCACAGCCTGCATCCAGTGGTGGAGCCGGACATTTTTTCTCAGGGGTGGTCACACGGGGACCACTACTCACACAGGGGTGGCCAGGAAAATTACATCATTTTATTTTACCTGAAAGTTTCTACAGATCTTTGTGTTTTGGTCATTTCCTTATGTCCTTATACAGGCAGTGACTACCTTATAAACATGGGTGTCAGAACCATTTTAAAAGTGGGGGACACACTGTTGGGGGGTCTGGGGGTCCTCCCCCCCAAAAATTTGAATGAAATAGATGCGATTTCCTGCATTCTGGTGTATTTTACCAGGTTGTTTAACATACTTTTACCTACATAAATAAACACTTGATTTAATAATTATTTCAGAGACAGATTCTTCATTAAACTAGTTACATTATCCTGTTTTTAAACTCACTGCTACAGCTGAGATAAGGTTAATTAATGTGACACAATTTATCATATCTAATGCCTTTTACTTTTATATTGTTTGATTTATTTTTAATTGTAGCACATGTCATTGTGCCAAATAATGATGACCTTCAACTGCATGTATAAAACTAGTATTAATAACTTTACCCAATCAACAGGTGCAATATTGATACTCACCAACAGTGATTTTAAAGGGGCATTTCACTTTTTCTGATTTAGTCACAAGTCTACTCATAACCAAAAGGGACAGAGCATCATGCAGCCTTCAAAACAGAAAATGACACTGTGTTATGATGACAAAAAACAAAAGCATTTGTCACCATAAGTCAGATAACATAAAGAAAACAATCACATTTTGTCACTTCTTTGAGCTTGGAGATGTTTCAAACTGTTAAACACTGCCACCAGCTGTTCAGGAGGGTTATTACACCCCTAAAGGTTGTTTCACTGTGTAAGGAGTGTAAACAAGCAGGGTGGCCAAAGAGTTGTCTGTGGTGGCCATGGCCACCCCTGGCCACCCCCTGGCTCCGCCCCTGCCTGCATCTTGTCTGGTGTGTTAGACCTCGGCCTCTATTGCTCTTGTGATGCCATTAGTGTCTCTGTTCTGTCCTTCAGTCCAGCCCTCTCTACTTACAGGTATGACTGATGGGATTTATTGATACTGTTCACTTCAGATAGATGCCATGCAGGAGTTTATCTTACCACGATGGTTCCTAATGTTCCACATGAAACACTCCCAGAAAGGGCCAGTTCCATCCAGCTACTGGCCAAACTCTTGGCTCCGTGATGGAAGCTTGAATAGACACACGAGCCAATACTTGAGTGAAGGGAATTGGAAGCAACACTAGAGGAGCCAAGCATCAGCTACTGCTCGAGACCAGACACACAAGAAAACCTATGACTTGATGGCACACACATGGACACAAGAGTGCTTGAAACATCAGCAGGCTACTAAAGGCCTCCACACACTCCATCTAAAGCCAGTGGATGCACCATCAAGTGTTTTTGTGATGTTCGTTTTCACGCGTTTTCATAGACCCTGAGAGACACCACGCTGAGCTCCTGGGAAACCCCTCCTGCTGTGGGACATGCCACTGCACGGGGTTTCTTCCCATTGTAGTCCACACTCAGAAAAGAAAAAAACCTCACTACAACTACCTTTATAATTATCTGCTTTCAGGTACAACAACCGGATACTGGAAGCGAGTAGTTGAAGCAAAATGCATCGTTCAAGCATTTTCAGCATAAACAAACACGCCCACAAACTTCTGACTAAGTAGTAATTTCTTATGTAGGGGGGGGTGAAAAGTTCCCCCAGCAGGTTGTGACAAGAAGGGGTGGAAGACTAGAAGCTGTGAACAAAATGATGCAATTCTCATCACACAACTGCAACAATTCAGATGGACCATGTGGAGGCCTTAAGAGACTTCATCAAGAACTCAATGAGAATATGGAAAACAACTCTAGGAGTCAGCATCAAATGTCACATTAACCATGGTGGTGCTCTGTCCCCACTGAACCCCCTCAGACAAATCACTGTAACTGTGGCTGTGGATACAGTTTGTGAAAGGTTTAATCCATCCATGCATCCATGCCATCCCCATAAATCCATTTGGAGGAGTAGAGTAGCGTGTATCTGTTGGTGGTTTGACGTGTACACTACTTTACAGTGGTCTTGTTCTGTCCCCCACCTGTTTGAAGCCTTCTTCCCAGAGCCCTCCACGTCATGTTTGCGGCACAGCATGCCCTCCTGCAGCACGGCCTGGGATCTTAAGGGCTCTGTGGGCATGGTGGCTGCCCTCTCGGGGTCTTTTGGCATCACTACAGAGACAGAAGGGTCCAGCTCCAGAGATCCACTTTCTCTCATTTCTGACTCAATGGGCACCGTGGATTCTCCAGCAGTCCCCTCCAGCTGACCAGAACTTGGCTCCACTTCACCAGACTAGTGCAAAACAAACAAACACAAATAAGCAAACAACAAAAGATAAATAAGTTAGGAGAAAGAAGTAGAATTTAACACAACAAACTCATATATAT